GAGAGATGTGGGGTCTTATTGACCCCATATCTCCCATAAAGAGGACCTGTCACTAATTATTTCTATCACAAGGGATGCATGCATTTCTTGTGATAAGCATAAAAGTGATTCAAATTTATTTAAAAGAAACAGTGCAAAAATGAAAAAAAAAAAACATTAAATACGTTTTTTTTAAAAAGTTTAAAGTGCCCCTGTCCCCCTTAGCTCGCACATAGTGGTGGACGCATACGTAGGTCATGGCCACATATGTAAATGGTGTTCAAACCACACACGTATGGTGTTCAAACCACACACGTGAGGTATCACCACGAACGTCGGAGAAAGAGCAATAATTCTCGCACTAGACCTCCTCTGTAACTTTACACTCTAACCTGTAGACATTTTTAAAGCATCACCCGTGCAGATTTTTAAGCACCGCGGTTTCACACCATTCCATGATCATGCGCAATTTTAAAGTGTGAAATTTTGGGTATCTATTTACTCGCCGTAACATCCTCTTACATATTTTACAAAACAATTGGGGTATATATTTTTTTTATTTAATCAAAGTTTATTTTTTTTCAAAAAAATATATATTTATTTTGAAAAACTGCACATTTCCGGTTTTCAGCCAAGTGCATTTTTACATATTTTACAAAACAATTGGGGTATATATTTTTTTTTTAATAAAAGTATTTTTTTCCAAAAAATATATATTCATTTTATAAAAACTGCGCATTTCGGTTTTCGGCCAAGTGCATTTTGAATTTTTGGTTTCAGCACCCGAATTTTCACCACTAAAATGTATGGCTCAAATTGCAACGCACAGAATTCACATATGATTTGCACAGGGACGCGGTGCGGTTCCTGTGGGAATCACATGCAATATGCCGCACTGCACAAGTATGAACCCAGGCTTACACTTGCTTTGACTTCAACACACATAAAAGTGCCTACCGCTTCCAGTCATTAGATGTGGTGGCTGTGTTAGTTTTCTTTTATTAGACCTATTCCCTCTGTTTTCACCTTTTGATTTGGCCATTAACACACCTCCTGTATTAGAATGGCTCCACTCTGGAGGAAAGAGCACAGGGGGCATCTTTGGACAGCAGCATTGCTAATCTGGGGGGAAGAGAGTGTTAGATATACCAGCAGATTTAGATACACTAACAAGCTGAAACTGAACTCCGGTATTAGTTCACTTTTACATTTTTTTCTGTGAAGATGAACTGACTGAAAACAGTAGTAAGGCATCCAAGAGAGTCCTAAAATGTATATGAAGTTTTTTTTAGTATACAGGGTAAAACAGCAAGGCAGCCAGCCCACGCTTCTGCATTTTAGCCTAAATGTCCTTTAAGGGGAACCTACCCTTTAATTATCTCTGGAGAAATCAATGTTAAATCAATTCCCAGCATTGATTCATTTGTTGGAAATTTCAGAAAAAAAGGGTCCTGCACCTTTTTGGTGCGGGTGTGGTGCGGTTTGATCCTTACAAAACGTATGGCTCTACTTGCACCGCACAGAATTCGCATATTATTTGCACAGGGACGCGGTGCGGTTCCTGTGTGAATCACATGCAATATGCTGCACTGCACAAGTATGAACCCAGGCTTACACTTGCTTTGACTTCAGCACACATAAAAGTGCCTACCGCTTCCAGTCATTAGATGTGGTGGCTGCGTTAGTTTTCTTTTATTAGGCCTATTCCACTGTTTTCACCTTTTAATTTGGCCAGTAACACACCTCCTGTATTAAAGTGGCTACACTCTGGAGGAAAGAGCACAGGGGGCATCTTTGGACAGCAGCATTGCTAATCTGGGGGGAAGGGAGTGTCAGATGTACCAGCAGAAAATGTACCAGCAGATTTAGATACACTAACAAACTGAAACTGAAGTCCGGTATTAGTTCACTTTTACATTGAACTGACTGAAAACAGTAGCAAGGCACCCTAGAGAGTCCTGAAATGTATATGAAGTTGTTTTGGTATTTAGGGTAAAACAACATGGCAGCCCACGCTTCTGCGTTTGAGCCTAAATGGCCTTTAAGGGGAACCTACCGTTTAATTGCCTCTGGAGAAATCAATGTTAAATCAATTCCCAGCATTAATTAATTTGTTGGAAATTTCAGAAAAGAGAAAATTTTAAGGTTCAAAGAGGAGTAATGAAAATGATGTGTGTCGGAGATAACAGTGTATAGAAATAGGTTGTTCTGTTCATTTGTACCATTTGTATCAGCACCCAAAGAGATGGCACTTCACTTGGAAAGCATGATTGTAGAAGCTATGTGAAAAAATACAATAAATACCTGTTAAAGCGGAGTTTCCACCTGAAAAAAAAAAGTCAGCAGCTACAAATACTGTAGCTGCTGACTTTTAAAATACAGACACTTACCTGTCCCTCGGTCCAGCTGCTCCTCACCGTGTCCCTCCTCCCCCCGGCTGGTTTCACCAGCCGTCTTCTCTCCCTGGCACTGAAATCTTCAGTGTGGGCACCCGGCTGTGACAGCTTGCGGCTTGAATAAAAATTGTCCACGTATAAGTGGTACCCCATATGGAAAAAGGATGACACCAGTCCCAAACTATCTTGCCACTGCTCCTCATGTAGTCTGGGCATCCGGGGGGCTCCATCTTTTCCCTCGTAAATCTGAAACTTATATGTATAGCCTGTTGCCCTCCCATAGGTCTTATAACATCTTGACCCCATATCTGGCACGCTTGCTGGGGAGAAATTGTTTGAATGGAAGGTGTCCAGAAAAATGAATGAGGGACTCATCAACGCAGATTTTTTGCTGGGGAGTATAGACATCTGCAAAATTTTTAGTTAAGGTGATTTACGAGGGGCTGAATTTTGTGGAGCTGGTCAAATTCAGGGAATAATGTATTTAGTAAGCACCTCATAAACAATGCAAGCAGCTGAAGCATGATTGGAAGACACATAAAAGTCCCAAAATACATAAAAACAAAAGAAATGCAGCGCTCTTGAAAAAATGATAATAATAAACAGCAGTCCAATGACAAAAACTGTAGCTGTTTCCCAGTTAAATGGTAAATTTGCACTAATCTCGTCCAGGTAATGCGCATATGTGTCCTATATCCTGAAGATCCTTTCACCACTTGAGTCTGGTCAGATATACGGCTTGGAAGAATGGAAATCTTCTACGCCCTCCCACCCTTAGGTGGGACCCAGGACGCCGTTGACACCAAGCCGCCGGTGCCACGAGGAGGCCCGGCGGCCATTTTGAATCTAATAGGCCCTGGGGATTCCTGTGCCAGTTCCTTTGGAGGCTCACCTAGATCGTTATTGCTCTGACCTGCTGGATCACTTTTCCCCTCGTAAACCAAATGAGGGCGTATAGGATCTCCATTCTTCCAAGCCGTCTTATATCTTGACCCCAGATCAAGCTGGAGAGAAAATGGATCTTCAGGAAATATACACATATGCGCATTCATGCAACGTTCTGGTTAGTGCAAAATTCTACCATTTACACTGGGAAACAAGGAGCACTGTTTTTTTCATTGAAATTTATTATTAATTTTTCTCAAGAGCGCTGAATTTTGTTATGGTCAAATTCAGGGTCACCCGAGAAAGACAAAGTGTATTGTCGTTGAAATGCATAAAACACATTATACTCTCATATCTATGCTTGGCCATGGCAGCAGAGAACGCGGGCATATGATGAATGGGTCTTTGGACCAATGCAACCACAATTAATTTCTTTTACTAATGCCCATGTTGAGGGTTAGGCCCAAAAAAAATGTAAATTCGAAAACTGTAAAGGGTTTCCATGCGAATGGTCTGGCAAGGTTTGAATTTGGGTTGGGGTGATAAATTGTTGTGCATATAAATTAGTTTGATGCACAATCAATGCATACAGATATTCCGTGAAAAACAGCTCCAAAAAAGGGGAGTAGTTAAATTTGCTGTTTCCACCTGAATTTCGGGTTGGGCAGTGAACGGGGGAAGTACGGGTGCTGATTTTGTGAACACTGCGGTTTTGTGTGCAATGTATCAAGTGACAGTGACTTACTGACACTGCACTCACTTGGGGAGAAGGGGGGGGGGAGTAAGCCTAGGGGCTAAACGCAGATGCTGGCAGGTGGCGGGGCTGATCCTTCTAATGCTGTCTTTTTGGGGACACTATACTTATATGAATGCTGGTATAGTGTTGATCTGATCAAAGTTATTGATCTGTTCAGACACTATACTAGCAATGGAGGTTTATTGTGTATGAACGTGTTCCTGGCAATCAAGGGGTTAAATGCGATTACTGGTGTACTGACGGGAAATCTGACGCTATCTGGGAGGGGCGTGAAAACCACGGGAGTGCGAATCACGTATATATACGTGAATTTGCACACCCGTGCCACCCTGTAACAGTATTTCTGCTATAGGGCGGTCAGGAAGCGGTTTGTGTTACGGCGGTGCGTTACTTTAACTGACAATTTTCACGGTCATGCACTGCTGCACCCAAACTAAATTTACGTCCTTTTTTTCCCACAAATTGAGATTTCTTTTGGTGGAATTTGATCGACTGTGCGTTTTTAATTTTTTGCGCTATAAAAAAAAGGATCAACAATTTTGAGAAAAAAACAATATTTTGGACTTTTTGCTATAAAACATGTCCAGTATAAAAATTTAAAAATCAAATTTCATCATAAATTTAGGCCAAAATGTATTCTGTGACATGTCTTTGCTAATAAATATCCCAATACATGTAAATTAATTGGTTTACATGAAAGTTATAGCGTCTACAAATGGCGGTATGGATACTGGAATTTTTGGTTTTATACTAATAATGGCGGTGATCAGCAACTTATGGCAGCGATCAGAAACTTATGGCAGGACTGCGGGACTGCAGCAGACATTCTGACAGTTGGGAGAACTGACTTGGGGTCACTGACATCCCCAGTGACACCAATACAGTGATTAGTGCAAAAAAAAAAAAACACACTGTATGAATGGGACTGGGGAGGGAGGGGTTAACATTAGAAGGCAATAAAAGGGTTAACTGTGTGCTGGGAGTGTTTTACTAGGGGGCGGGGGGGGATGCTTCACTGTAAGCACACTGATCAGGATGGCTGTGCTCCCGATCAGTGTGCCAAAACTAACAGGGGAGGAGAGCTGCATTGTAAACAATGCAGCCATGCTCCCTGTTGGTGTTTGCCGGTAATCACCTTCTGGGACCCGGTGATTGACACACGCGGCCGCGATTGGCGGCACGGGTAGGGCGGTCGCACTCCTTGCACATGCCCCCTACCCGAAATGCAAAGTCATGTATATATACGTGATTTTGCACAGCGTTGCCGCCCTGCTGCAGTATAACTACTGTGGCTGGTTGGCAAGCAGTTAATAGCAAGAAGTCCAAAATATTGTTGTTTTTTTTAAAAAAAATTGGCAGTCTTTTTTTGTTTATAGCACAAAAAATAAAAAATGCACAGGTGATCAAATACCATCAAAAAGTAAGCTCTATTTGTGGGGAAAAAGGACGTAAATTTCATTTGGGTGCAGTGTTGCATGACCGCACAATTGTCAGTTGAAGTAACGCAGCACCATATCGCAAAAAATGGTCTGGCCAGGAAGGGGGGGTAAATCCTCTGGAGAGCAAGTGGTTAACAACAGTTCTGTTTGATATTGAAGGTCCATCTTTATGAAGTAATGTCGCACACTTTGTGGGTGGACGGTGGTTGGTAAGCTGGTATTTGGTTGGTATAGATATTCCTGCTTGAGTCTCAGTGACTAATCATGTTGGTCTGTTAATGGGTAGCAGAGGTTCTGTTTGTTATTAAAGGTTAAAGTTCATTTCAGAATTATAATTGATTTAAACCCAATAAAGGGGCCGCAGCCTAAACTTTTCCACAATCTTTGTTGTGTGTTTATTTTATTATTTAGGTATGTTCTTATGGTATGCTGGGCTGTTAATGGGGTGTACAATCCCATACAGGACAAAAGTTGTGTTTACTGGTGATTAATGCTAGTGGGTATTGTAGGCACTAGCAGTGATCTCTGGACTTTATTTACTAAAACTCTAGACTGCAAAATCTGTTGCTGCTCTGCATAGTAACCAATCAGCTTCATAGTTTTATTGCCAAAGCTGGGGTTTGTTTACTAAAGCTGGAGAGTGCAAAATCAGGCTCACTTCTGAAGTGGAACCAATCAACTTCCTGCTTTTATTGCCAAAACTTAATTCAACAAGCTGAGGTTAGAAGCTGGTTGTTTTCTATGCAGAAATGAGCCTGATTTTGCACTCTTCAGCTTTAGAAAATAAACCCCACTGTGTAGACATTGGAGTGAAGTGATTTTCTATGCTGGAAATGTTTTTTTTTGTATGACAGAAAATCACGCCATTACATTGTAGGGTAAATGAAGTTACCTTGTTGATGATCTTCAAACAATTGTCATCATGTGAAAAACAATATTTTAGTTTGTATTGTGTTTTCATTGGATTGGCTGCATAGGAAAATACGGAGGCGTTTGTAATCCTGGTGGCTATATGGTGTCACTATTACACTAGATGGTGTCACTATTACACTAGATGGTGTCACTATTACAGTGCAACATGTCTCTAGATATCACTATCACAACATATCACTAGTACACTGGAACATGTCTCTACATGTCACTATCACATGTCACTATTACACTGGAACATGTCTCTACATGTCACTATCACATGTCACTATTACACTGGAACATGTCTCTACATGTCACTATCACATGTCACTATTACACAGTGCAACATGTCTCTACATGTCACTATCACAACATGTTACTATTAGGGCTCATGTACACTGCAGCTGATAAACTCACGTTTAGGAGATGTTCAACTTTTTTTTTCAGCAGCCCCTGAACTCACCCTAATGTTTTCCTATGTGTCCATGTACACATCTTTATTTACAGCCATTTACAGGCATTTGAGTTTACAGTCTTTTTTTGAACGCAGAAAACTTGCGTTCAGCAGTCGATTTTATCAGCGTTTCAAACGCAAACTGCTTGTAAACGCAGCTAAACGTGGCAAATCGTGTTTCTAAGCGTTTGTGTCTGAAATTTTTTTTTAACTCTTCCAGTTCCCGATTCTATCCAGAGCCTTTTTTCATCATGAAAAATGCATGCAAAGCGTTTTCAAGCTACTCAGATGGAGAAAACACTGAACACAGGATGTTCCTACCAAGCATGTCACACATTGTAATGACCAATTCACACCTCAGACCTCTCCCACCCTTTCAAACAAAAGATATGTTAATGACCATTCACACCTCAAATTCCTCAGGAAGAGCCCCTGCCAGGTGACCTTAATGACTCACTCCACCAGACACCTTTCCCAAGCTTGGAAACAAAAGAAATGTTAATGAGCAACTCACACCTAAGCTAATTTCAACACATACTGCTGTCTCTGCTTCTACTCTCTGTATTTCTCTGCAACAGTCTGAAATAGTTAATAATTTACCACTTTTCAGTGCATTCTGGGCATTTGGGAGGTTTTCCTGTGCTTATCTTTAAAAAAACGCTTCTAAACACAAACGCACATAAACACGTTATGCAAACACGGCTAAACAGATGTTTTTTTTTAACCCCTTCCCGCCGACGCCTCCCAGCCCTTTAAGAGATTCTGACGTCGGGAGGCGGGGCGCTGGGGCGTGGTTTAGGAATCATGTGACCGCCGTGATGATGCGTCACGGCGGTCACATGATCGGGAAAGGTCCCGTTCAAAAGAGCGGAGCGGGACCTTTCCGTGAGTACTACACATGTGTGCGGGGAGCGCGCAGGGCGCGCGCTCTCAGCACATATGTATTTAGTTCCATGGACGCAAATGTGCGGCCGCTCGGCGTCTAGGCCCAGACGCCGGGAGGCCGCACATCTGCGTGCGGCCGGCGCAAAGGGGTTAACCTACGTTTTGCAGTAGTCAGTTTCCATCATTCAGAAGTGTACATGGGGCCTTACAGTGCAACATACCTCCCCTGTGCAACATTGCCTGTTGTCCCCCATCTCTGAAGCCTGCCTAGGAAGCATGGTAAGGACAGGGGCTGGGTTACTGCTAAAGTGGTAATTGCATATCCCAACTTTTTTTATTTTTGGATTGCACATGATTTGAGTCAGCTGCAAAAGATCAAAAACTCTGAAGCTCAACATACACTATACAACAGGGCTTGAAAAAGCCACTCGCCCGTACGCCAAATGCGAGGAGAAATTCCTGTGTGGCGAGCGGCGAGCACAGATGATGGATGGAGAGGCTGCACCTGTGCTCCAAGCCTCATTGTGAAGCCTAGTTCCGGTTTCCCAACTTCTGGTTTCCAGTTTCTTCAGCACCGCCATTACACTGGCAGCGCCGCTGATGGGACAGGTACAGGAGAGGTCCACTCTCCTCCGCTGAGAGGAGACACCCTCTCCACCGCTACGGCGGGACTCGAGGAGAGGTCCGCTCTCCACCGCTGCTGGGGACACAAGGAGAGGCCTGCTCTCCACCGCCTTGGGGGACCTTGAAGTATTTTTAGGTATGGTCTGTGGAAATTTTGTTCAGTTTATATATGGCTATATGTACATTCTTTGTGTACGGTTAGAGGTCCATCCTCTACACCTACAGTTTTTTTATAAAGTTTAATCTTTTATCAAACACCCTATTGTATATGTTGTATAGCTTTTAGTAGTACCTGAAAACTTGCATAGTGCTTTCTCTTGGTGTCTGTACTCAATACGGTAATAATAATATGCCACGTTAACCATAGATAGTAGAAAGGGTGTGAAAATGTAAGGAACACCTTTTTGCTAGCTAACCTAATATACTTTAGTGCAAGCTTTTTAGAATACCGAGTTGTCTTCACCAGACATGGTGTCATACCTTTACACATCAGTGACATGAACATACACATAGTACTGTATATGCAACAAATGTTCACCAGGGGATGCCTCTGGCAGTCTGCCAGGATTTGGTGAAAATTGTCCTATGTCTATGGATAGACCCTACATCCAGTTATTAACACGTTGTGTCCTTTTTTAATACTTTAACTGGAGAAAATGTGTTATGTGACTTTCTAATATAATAACAGAGATGCTGTGAATACACATTAAACGTTTACATAGGTTTCATAAATTAGGTTCTAGGCTCAGTGTGGCATCTTATCCACTATGAGACTTGATTATATAAACCAGCTTTCTATTAGACTCTATTCTAAAGAAAAATTTAATTTCATAAACTTTAAGGGGGCGTGGTTGGGGGCAGGGCTGGGGGGCAGGGTTTGGGCGGACCAGGGGTGGGGTTGGAGGCAGACCTGGGCAAGGTTGGGTGGGGCAACTGGTGGAGAGTAAGGTTTTTGCCTGGCTAGTAGGTCTAGAATCAAAATTGTAAGCCCTGTATTGTACACTATTACAGTGTAACATGTCACTATCACAACATGTCACTGCATGTCACTATCACAACATGTCACTATTACACTGGAACATGTTACTACATGTCACTATCACAACATGTCACTATTACAGTGCAACATATCACTATCACAACATGTCTCTAGTACAGTGCAACATATCGCTACATGTCGCTATCACAACATGCCACTATTACACTGAAACATGCCTCTACATGTCGCTATCACAACATGCCACTATTACACGGCAACATGCCTCTACATGTCACTATCACAACATGCCACTTTTACGGTGCAACATGCCTCTACATGTCATTATCACAACATGTCACTATTACACTGAAACATGCCTCTACATGTCGCTATCACAACATGCCACTATTACACAGCAACATGCCTCTACATGTCACTATCACAACATGCCACTATTACGGTTCAACATGCCTCTACATGTCATTATCACAACATGTCACTATTACAGTGCAACGTGTCTCTACCTGTTGCTATCACAACATGCCACTATTACAGTACAACATGTCTCTACATATCACTATCACAACATGCCACTATTACAGTGCAACATGTCTCTACATGTCAGTCATACTTCTCTCTCATATGTCGCTCAATGGGAGCGTGACCTGGGGGCAGTCGTGGATCTGGAGGACTGAAATAGGGCCTGGTCGCTTATAGCTAATTGTTCATTTAATACGACCACGTTGGAGGCGGCATACAAAGTATTGTTTTGTTGGTATTGGGTTCCAGCTCGTTTGGCCCAGGC